GAATTAATTCGTGGTGCACAGATCTACATCAGAGTATCAGTGTTTTCAGGCGTCCACACATCAGATCTCTGGAGCCGTTTTCAATCGGATTAGTGTGAACGAACACTGCATCCACAACCAAAACCACTCAAATACAAACTAGTGTGGACGGGGTCTAAAACAAACTGGAAGCCAGAGCAACGACGCTAAACTCGAAATAATGAGCTCATGTTTTTTGGTTCCAGTTAAAAGTCGTGCAGTAGAATTTTGGACCAACTGTAAGTGAGAAAGTGCAGGAGGCTGATGCCAGAGAAAAGTGTGTTCCAGTCTAAACGAGAGGAGATAAAAATGTGCCCTGTTCAAATGATTTAAAAGATAAAAAAGGGTTAATTTTAGATAAAAGTCTCAAATGATAAAAGCAGAAGGGGTCAAATTAACCAAGCTTCCTTCTCCTCCGTTACCTTCAAAACAACTCTTTAACAATCCCATACTGACCCAGACAGGAGCTTCCAAACTGGGATTAAAATGCCCCCCTGCTCCCCCTCCATTCCATATCTTCCAGTGACCTCCAAAAGACCCTTATCTGCCCCACACTGACCCAGAGAGAAGGCTCCAAACTAGGGTCGGAAACACCAGGCTCCCTCTCACTTTTAAAACCTCCAGTGCCTTCATAACTCTCTCATACTGACCCAGGAAAAAGGCTCCAAACTGGGCTTGAATTCTCCAGCCAGACCCCACAGCTGTCCCACTCTGACCCAGAGACGAGTGGCCAAACTGGGGGTGCATTCTTCTCTCTACCCCCACTGTCTCTGGGTCTGCTCGAGCTCAAAGGGGATCTCCTCCAACTGTAACACGAGCCCAGGAGAAACGAGTAATGCAAGAACAACATAACACATTAGAGCAGAGGAGAAGAGGAGAGGGTCAGAGGAGAAGAGGAGAGGGTCAGAGGAGAAGAGGAGAAGGTCAGAGGAGAAGAGGAGAGGGTCAGAGGAGAAGAGGAGAGGGTCAGAGGAGAAGAGGAGAAGGGTCAGAGAGAGAGAGAGGAGAGTCAGAGGAGAGAGAGAGAGGGTCAGAGAGAAGAGGAGAAGGTCAGAGGAGGAGAGGAGAAGGTCAGAGGAGAAGGTCAGAGGAGAAGAGGAGAGGGTCAGAGGAGAAGAGGAGAGGGTCAGAGGAGGAGAGGAGAGGGTCAGAGGAGAAGGGAGAAGGTCAGAGGAGAGGAGAGGGGCAGAGGAGAAGAGAAGTTCAGAGGAGAGAGGAGCAGAGGAGAAGGTCAGGGAAGAAGAGAAGTTCATGGGAGCAGAGGAGAAAGTCAGAGTAGAAGAGGAGATGGTCAGATGGAGCAGAGGAGAAGGTCAGAAGAGTCAGGAGGAGCATAGGAGAGGTTCAGGTGGAGGAGAGAAGAAGGTCAGATGGAGCCAAAGAGAAGGTCAGAGGAGCAGAGGAGGTCAAATGGAACAGAGGAGAAAGTCGGATGGATGAAAGAAGAAGGTCAGATGGAGCAGAGGGTCAGAGAAGAGGATCAGATGGAGGAGAGAAGAGGGTCAGATGGAGCAGAGGGTCAGAGGAGAAGGTCAGACGGAGCAGAGGGTCAGAGGAGAGGATCAGATGGAGGAGAGAAGAGGGTCAGATGGAGCAGAGGGTCAGAGGAGAGGGTCAGATGGAGCAGAGGGTCAGAGAAGGGGGTCAGATGGAGCAGTGGTGTTACATAAATCTCCCGTTACATAATCAAGCACAAGTTTGGATTTCCGATTGGAAAAGGCTCAGTGAAATCCCGTTTGACGTAGGTGGACCTCCTGCCAGAAGACTTGGCTCGAAATCTAAAAAGGCTCTTTCATAATTATCACTTGATTTGGCCGGCGGTGGAGACGTTTCACTGGGGAGAGACGTGTGAATGAGACGGCTCCAGCTCCGTCCTCCGGGTCCTCCTCAAACACACGCACAGACTAAAAATAATGTCCCGCAGTGTCACGTCCAACTTCATCGCCATGGAGACAGGCAAGCGACGTCACCAGGCTGAGATGCAGGTCAGATCCACGGAGAGGAGAGCCTGTTGACAGAAAGAGTGCAGGTTTTTAGGATATTTTGGAGCAATAAAAACACATTCCATTGATTAGATGTAATATAGATAAGTTTAATGCCGTATTGTGGAACATTCTAGACATCCCCCTTCCACCCAAATGTTACATAGTTAATTTATGTTTTTTTTTTTTTTTTAATGTTAAAATGCCTTGTAAAACAGTTGGACGTTGCATTTTTCATTGACCCAATTGCCAATCTGTGACCCACTTTAACACCTCCCAGTCGTTGGTCGGATATGAGCACCTGGGCTGGCAACCATTTTCCAAATCCAAATCCAAATCCACTTTATTTCCACAGCACATTTTACAAACAAAGCAGTTTCCAAAGTGCTGCACAGATCAGAAAATGAAAACAACAAACAGGTCAATTGCTCAAATTTGGTCACACCAGTCCTAAAACAATAAAACCAGTCAAATCAAATAAAAGCAAAACTATAAAAATCATAAAATAACAGTAAATAAGTCAAATAAATAAAAGACACAGAGAACCATACAACTCAAGTGGTGTTAAAAGCCATAGAGTAAAAGTGGGTTTTAAGACGAGACTTAAACTCTCCTCTGTGGGGCTGTTGGGACGTGGGGGGGGCAAAATGTTCCAGAGTTTGGGTTCGGTCACAGAGAAGGTCTTATCCTCCTGGTTTTAAGTCTCGTCTTTGGTCCCAGGAGCTGGAGCTGGACCTCAGACCTCAGAGCGCTCTGGAAGTGTCAATCTGGAGGAGGTCTGAGTCGTACTGTGGGGTCAAAACATTCAAAGCTTTAAAAACAAACAATAAAATCTTAAAATCAACTCTAAAACAAACTGGAAACCAACGCAATGACGCTAAACTCGGACTAATGTGCTCATGTTTTTTGGTTCTAGTTAAAAGTCGCGCAGTAGAATTTTGGACCAGCTGTAAGTGAGAAAGTGTGTTCCAGTCTAAACGAGAGGAGATAAAAGCATGACCTGTTCAAATGATTTAAAAAAAGGGTTAATTTTAGATAAAACCAACAAATGTTAAAAGCCAGACAACTGTGTTCATTTGTTTGTTAAATTTAAAATCACTGTCAGTAGTGACGCTGAGGTTGGTGACAGACTCTCTCACAGACTGTTCACACTGGTCCAAAGCAAGAAAAATGATCTTTAAAATGAAAAATTTAAGAAAGCTTTGGAACAACAGCCATCTGAGTGTGTTCTGTATATATTCACTTTCCAATTGCCAATCTGTACCATCAAAAATGAGCCACACACCACCGTTTTGGAAAGCTGGATGAAGTGTCTTGCTCAATGACACAATGACAGTATTGATTCAATAGTATTCTGGTTAAACATTTTAAAAGTGAAAAAAAGGCATAGCACACTCAGATGGCCGATGTCCAAAAGCTTATTTGATTTTGTAGTACACTGTGTAGTACACTGTGTAGTACACTGTGTAGTACACTGTGTAGTACACTGTGGTCCAAAACAAGAGAAATGACAAAGGCTTTTTGCTAATACACAATTTAAAAATATAAAAAGCTTTTGGACATCGGCCATCTGAAGGAGCTGTGTAGTTTTTCACTTTTAAATTGCTGTTTCTGCGTTTCCACGTCTACTCAAACTTAGGTGTGTGTTTTCTGTTTCATTTGGTAAAAATCGAAAAAAAACAAAACAAAACGCTGGACTACAGGATTTGAAGGTCAAAAGGACGTCTCTGCACGCTGTCTGCATCACACGCATTTTATCGTCTGCGAACCAGGAAGAAACAGCGGTGTGTTGTTAGCATGCTAGTGGTGAGGGCAATACTCTGCTCTGGTCTCTCAAACTGCAAATAAACTCATCACAGTGAAAAATGAGTTTAGAATGAACCACTTCTGTTTTTCACATTTATGATGTAAAAACCTGGTAGAGTAAAGAGGAGGTACTGTACAAAATGGACTTTTTGGAGCTTTCTCCCACGTTTAACATCGTTCCCTCATCAGAAAACTAGGGGTTGGACATTAACGCATTAATTATGAATAATAAGCCTGGACCAAACTAAATTTCTGGTCAGAATCACCAACTACCTGGACAAATATTCACTTGGACAATATCCACAATGACTTGGTGGAAACTCCTGGGCCATTCACAGCAGAAAAGATGAAAACCTCCAAGAGTCTCGATGTGTTGTTGAACTTGTTGGAGTCCACGGTTTGTTAGGATCTTCTACGTTTGCTCTGCGGATGTTTGAAAGACATTTAATTCACCAGTTAGTGGTTCTTTTTCACTCGGAATATGAAAAAGACATTTTCCTTCTTCCGTGTTTCTATTTGTGCATCTGATAATGCAGCAGGAATTTACCATTATCGGGGAGAAATACGCGAGGTTACGCACTCTGTTTGACGCTATCTTGCCTCCGACCAAATTATTTCCCAGCATGCAACACAGGCTTTTAATAACAATGACGTCAGCTGAAACTCGCCTATAGCAAACTGCAGAAACATTTTAAGAGTTTCATATCATATATCATATTATATCACATACGCATCTCAATCCTACAATACCACAAGTCCCACTCCTACAAAAACATGACTCAAGAGGTTTTACATGACATCCCTATATGTTTGAGTAATTTAGAGATCTCTCCCGAACCCTATTCAAACCCTTGTTACTCTTCTCCCTCCATAAATACACAAAAACATGACACAAATCTGTACACAGCAACTTAACAAACCTGGTGTGATGTGCAGGAGTTTGATTAGCAGGATGAATGTTGTGACAGTGCTCTGAAGGGGGAGTGTCTTAGCATAGAGAGCAAACAGAGGGGAGACTCAGAATGTCAAAACTGGAGTGAAACTTTGAAAACTTGTTACAAATATGTCTTTTTCAAACAACAAAGGTAACATGGTGATGTAACACACCTCACAGAAGTGCAGTAAAACACTTTGAACTTGTAAATCTGTGTTTGTGGAGAATTAAAGCGTTGTGTTTTGTGTTTTGTGTTTCAGGGTGCGTAAGGTCCCGTTCCCGGTCAAAGTGTGCAGCTCCTCTGTCCAGCTCCACATGAGAGGAAAACCCAAAACTGTCACCGTGGAAACCAGAGCCTCTCTCAACACGGCCGACTTCAAGAAATCTAAAGACGGGTTTATACTTTTCACCCCAGCAAACTGAAACTACCACAACTACCACAACGAGAGTAGAGGCTCTTCTGAAGTCAGTAGATACTTTGCAGTGACATCGCGCGCGGGGGTGTTCTACATGTATGTCTATGGTTGAATGTTTAACAGTTATTATGGAGACACATCAGCAAACACTGTCAAAAAGTTTTTAAGATAGTGTGAACTTACAAAATGGATTTAAACGTCACATTTTGAGGAGCCTGTGATCAGTGCGAGTGTTCATGGTTCTTTTTAGGAGTTTGGTTTTCAACAAAAAGATGAGAGCGACTAACTGGAAAACTGTTGGGTAATGCAAGATTTTGACTGTAATATTATTTGAGAGGAACTTTAACAGCACAAATCAGCTACATTGGCTCTTTATTGTGTAATTGTGGTCAAATTAAGCTCAGATTAAGTCTAACAGAGCTTCAGACAGAGCAGTGCACTCAGTTAGGATAATGTGGATGACACCAGCTGCAAAGTATCAATAGACTTAAAGACCCTGTACTTGATTTTACCCCATGTATTGTAGCAAAAACTCTTGCCCCAGTAAAGGTAAAAAAAGCCACAAATTTTACTCATTATTTTGTATTTACTTCAAAATAATATTACCGTATTTTCCGGGCTATTAGGTCGCTCTGGATTATAAGACGCACTGTCATTAAATGGTCTATTTTGGAACTTTTTTCACAAATAAACCGCGTGGGACTTTAAAGGAAACCCAACAGTGTGGATGGGTGAGTGGTTTTGTTTGTTTGTTCGTTCACAGTGACTCTGGGCTTTGTTCAGTTGTGGCGTGTAGGGAGGGTGTGTCTGGGACCAACGGATTGTCGGCGTGTTCGCAGTGACTCAGTTGTTCAGTTGTGTCTAGAAGTGGCACATTGGACTCGCTTTTTCGGTTCGTTCCTCCGTTCTGATGAGTGTGTCTGTGTTTGTGTTTCGCTGTGCGGTCGCTGTCTGCTCCGTGTGTGTTTGTGTGTTCTGTGGGTGTTGTTGTTTGTAGTTTACTGAAGTCGTGCTGGGACACCTGAGTGGATTCGTGCTCTGGATTGTGGGGCGGGCAGTTATTTTTTGATGGGGTTAGAGGCTTAAGAGCGCAACTAATAGTGCAGGAAATACTGTAATCATGTAGAAGTACAAAGTAGTGGTCCAAGAAATGACTCAAGAGTCTTTTAAAGAGTAACTGCCTGAACATAACATGTGATTTAAGATTTGAAGTGAATGTAATTTGAAGGACAGAACATGAGTCATAAGCCAAAACACAAATGTTCAAATCATTTCATATTGTCACATGAAACTTTTGTCACTTTAGACTCACAGTGAGAAGAGGAAGCACAACTTTTACTCAAGTAATGTCGGACATATATTGTGTGATATTTTTCGATGGTTTCACTCAGCCCCAGCTCTAACTGTACGACCAAATCACAGAGTTTAAAAGTTCACAGCTCAGGATGTATGTTCTCATTATATGATCCAGTGCTCGGTGGAAACCCTCACGAGAGGCGACTGGATTTCAAACGGGTTTAATATTTTTGCGACCTGTGGTTACCAATTGGGAGCTTGTCGTGAGGTATTAATCAGTTCTAATTACCCCATGTTTACTACACCAAGCATGACACATGATTAAGACAAAAGACAGTGAAAAATCATCTCAAAAAGGGCCAAAAATCACACAGTGTAACATACACCGGGCTTAATAGTACTGTTACTCTGTACTTTATATTACTCAACTTAGTCTACGTTCAGCCTGCAGGGCTTAATACTTGATTCAGATTTTTTTTTATTTTTTTATTTTTTTTGCAGTGTCGTTCGCATTTCTAATTAAATGTGACTTGTATGTGATCTCCAGTGTGAACTTTTCACTCCCCAAAAGTGTCTCACATGAGCATCGGAGGACACAACAATGTCACACACACTGAATGAATGTGATCTGGACGTTCAGACTGAAGTCACATGTCACAAGATCAGACATGTAATGAATTTTAGGAGCACATATCCAAGTGGTCTGGGTCACATTTGAAAAATCAGATCTGTATCGTTCAGACCTTAAAAGATCAGATACAGGAGCATAGGGGCGAAATAAATGGATTTGGGTCGCTTCAGTCTGCAGTTTGAACGTAGCCTAAGAGTACTGTTACTGTTGTAAAAAGTTACTCAAGAAAATGTAACTGAGCTCATACTCACCCCTGTGTCTCAGCAAGCCCACTGTGTACTGTCTGCATCTAATACACACATCAAGAATCTCAGACTTCCACTCATTGTGCAATTCATACTGGGAAGGATTTTCTGAAAAAGTGAGCATCAAACCTCCATGTTTGTTTTCCCAGTGGGATGAGTCTATTGACAAAGTCTTTTGAACCATATCACTTTTGTTTCTGGTTCTGATATTGTCATATTTTAGTTTTGGGATTCGGACAGGATCCCGCTTTGTTGTCGCTCCACATACTAAATGTTCACTGCAAACTCAGGATGATTTAGACAGTCAGAGTTTTCCTTTTTGGTTCTTCCTGTGGAATCAAGTCCTGCCCATCACCTTCATCTTTCACTGTTTTTCAATTCCGATGGGAAGAGAAACAGTTTGAACAGAGGTTTGAGTCACACACATCTGATTCACTTTTGCATTTATGGAGTTCACAAACACATTTCTCGAGCCATTTTCCGCTGTTAGAACATTCAACAACCACACAATTAACAATGTCCGAATCCCAAAACCAAAATATGACAATATCAGAACCAGAAACAAAAGTGATATGGTTCAAAACACTTGAAAAGATCAACTTTGTCAATAGACACATCCCACTGGGAAAACAAACATGGAGGTTTGATGCTCACTTTTTCGGAAAATCCTTCCCAGTATGAATTGCGCAATGACCGGAAGTCTGAGATTCTTGATTCGTGTATTATAAAGAGGGTTATTGCCTGAGTCAGCAAGTGTGCAGTCAGCATGCTAGTTGTTTTGAGCTTTACCGTAATGTCACTGTCAACTGTTTAAGATAAAGTAGTTCTGTTTTTGTGTCATTTTGAACACCATACATTTTCATAAACATTTTTTTTGAACAAAAGTATATATCCGTGCAGTGGTGTAGTCGTTCAGTTTTCACCCCATTACAAGACGGTTACCAGTTCAGTTTATTTGCACTATATTTGAAATACCCTGGCACAGTAGAGAAGTGTTAACCCTTTCACCAGAAGGTTGCTGGTTCTCATTCTTGCCCCTCCTTGGTGAGTTGTGAGTGGAAGGGCATCTGGTATAAACATCTGCTGATCAAAGTTCAGTTTTATACTTGTAATGCTGTTTTTTTAATATTATTTCTTAAGTTTTATTGTATTTTCTTCACATTTTAAGAACAGTACGAGGATAAATCGTGTATTGTGTTTTGTAGAATAACTCCCACAGTGTTAATGATCTGAGAGCACTTTTCTTCCTCTTTGTTTTCACAGACGTTTATCTTTATGACTCACTTTGCTTTGTACAGACACGATGGATTGGAGCAGTTCTTTTCACAAATGTACAAATGGAGGAATTCTTATAGAAAATAAATTATTAAATGTGATTCAAACGATGAGACTGGAATGATTTTTTACACGTGGACTCTACAATCTTTGTTTTTTCACTAAACATGTCCAAGAGGAGGTGTTTACTTCTGTGGGGTATCAACATGGAAGAAGAAAAACAGCTGGAAGATAAATCCAAGGTGGTGTTTTACTTCTGCATTACTTCCTGAATACTGATCTTATGTCGCCATAGACTGTGTAAAAAAGTGGATTAACTGAGTGTGACGTCACCACTGTTGGACAAGTGACTTTAAAACTGTAATGTGTTATTAATGACTTATTACTGTCATTTCAAAGTCATTTGTTACTTTACAATATTACTGTGTTTAAAATGTAAGGAATTACATTATTACTGCATTACTTTAATTTACTCTCACCAAAATAACTGTGAAGATGCTGAACTTTTGCACCGTATATGGACTGAACCAGGTCTAAAGCAGGACTAAACCAGAACTGAACCAGGACTATAACAGGACTAACCTCTGACTGATTCCAGGACTGAAGAGGAGGACTAAACCAGGACTAAAACAGGACTGAACTAGGACTAAAACAGGACTAAACCAGAACTAAACCAGGACTAAACCAGGACTGACCTAGGTCTAAACCAGGTCTAAACCAGAACTAAACCAGGACTGACCCAGGTCTAAACCAGGTCTAAACAGAGCAGAGTTCTCGGTCCTTTCGCCCGTGGTTAACTGAAGGTCTACACAGCCACGTCTCCCTTTGTTTCACCGCTGTTGATATCGCGGTGATTTTAGTGAATTTGTATGAAGAAAAACCCACCACTTCACTCCAGGTTAAAAAAGCTTTGTAACACGTGTTACTCACAAGAGCCGCATGACAACTTCCTGTTTGGAACATGACGGTAAAGCATGTTAATTATGTCCATTTATATATATAGTTTACTGTATGTACACAGCAAAACATGTGACATCAGAAATGTGCAGTTCTGACCAATCAGACTGACAGTATTGGGAAAGTTACTTTTAAAATGTAATCCCCTACAGATTACAGATTACATACACCAAAATGTAGTTTGTAACATAATCTGTTAAATTACTTAAAGTGAGTAATGTAATCTGATTACTTTGGATTACTTGATTTGCTGTAGAGAAACAAAGACGAGGAAATCGTAACATAAGATGTTTTATCTGATAAAAGAAAATAAAAAGCCCAAACTTTACTGAACCAAATTAAAAATAATATTGATAGAAGAAGAAGAGACACGTCCACACAGCAGGATTTAGTCCTGTTTATCCTGTTTAGTCCTGGTTTTAGTCCTGGTTTTAGTCCTGGTTTAGACCTGTTTAGACCTGGTTTAGTCCTGGTTTAGTCCTGGTTTAGTCCTGGTTTAGTCCTGGTTTAGTCCTGGTTTAGTCCTGGTTTACCTGGTTTAGTCCTGGTTTTAGTCCTGGTTTAGTCCTGGTTTAGTCCTGGTTTAGTCCTGGTTTAGTCCTGGTTTAGTCCTGGTTTAGTCCTGGTTTAGTCCTGGTTTAGACCTGGTTTAGTCCTGGTTTTAGTCCTGGTTTAGTCCTGGTTTAGTCCTGGTTTTAGTCCTGGTTTAGACCTGGTTTAGTCCTGGTTTAGTCCTGGTTTAGTCCTGGTTTTAGACCTGGTTTAGTCCTGGTTTAGTCCTGGTTTTAGTCCTGGTTTTAGACCTGGTTTAGTCCTGGTTTAGTCCTGGTTTAGTCCTGTTTTAGACCTGTTTTAGTCCTGGTTTAGTCCTGGTTTAGTCCTGGTTTTAGTCCTGGTTTAGTCCTGGTTTTAGTTTTCCTGGTTTAGTCCTGGTTTAGACCTGGTTTAGTCCTGGTTTAGTCCTGGTTTAGTCCTGGTTTAGTTCTGGTTTAGTCCTGGTTTTAGACCTGGTTTAGTCCTGGTTTTAGAGTCCTGGTTTAGTCCTGGTTTTAGTCCTGGTTTAGTCCTGGTTTAGTCCTGGTTTAGTCCTGGTTTAGACCTGGTTTAGTCCTGGTTTAGTCCTGGTTTAGTCCTGGTTTAGTACCTGGTTTAGTCCTGGTTTAGTTCTGGTTTAGTACCTGGTTTAGTCCTGGTTTAGTCCTGGTTTAGTCCTGGTTTAGTTCTGGTTTAGTCCTGGTTTAGTCCTGGTTTTAGAGTCCTGGTTTAGTCCTGGTTTAGTCCTGGTTTAGTCCTGGTTTAGTCCTGGTTTTAGTCCTGGTTTAGTCCTGGTTTAGTTTAGTCCTGGTTTAGTCCTGGTTTAGTCCTGGTTTAGTCCTGGTTTAGTCCTGGTTTAGTCCTGGTTTAGTGTCCAGCAATGAGTGGAATTACAAGAAAAAAAACAGGGATTTAGCCCAAAATGTGAAAACAGGAAAATACCGCCATGTAATCCATTTATTTCAACAAAGTAACTGTAATCCAATTACCACTCACTGAAACAGTAACTGTAACTGAATACAGTTACTCATAATTTGTACTCTGATTACATAACTCCGGTACATGTAATCTGTTACTCTCCAACACTGGTGCTATCTGAGGGTGAGCAGACGTCCCTGTTGACCCGGGACAGTCCCAGTTTTGAGCCTGTGTCCTTCTGTCCCAGCACATTTATCCAAAACCACTGATTTGTCCCAGTTTTATACAAGAAATGTCCCAAGAGTTTTTGACCAGTCTGATCCTGCCAACAGTAAAGAGACACATAAACTGTCATTTGTTTAGGTAAAACAGAGAGAAAAGCTGCTTAAACATGACAAAAAGAAAGAAAATGTGACTATACTGACACACTTTAGTTATGATGGTTTATGCAGAACAGTTTTCTTTAATTACGCACTCGTTTCACAGTTTCATTATTACCAAGCACCAAAAAAAAATGGGGATGTCCCAGTTTTTTATTTTGAAATTCTGGTCACCCTACGGTAGTTGCTGGAGCTAGAGCAGACTCCGTGTTCTACGAGACGGTTCTTTCTGGGCCCGAGTGTCTTTACATTTATTACCTTTTACTGTTTTGAAAATGCTGAAAGTGTACGGACAACATGTTTTATAAGATCTGCTTTCGTTTTTTTAAGTCCTGAGTCTCCTGTCCCTCCCTTTGCTCTCTGTGCTAAGTCACTCCCCCTCCAGAGACATTCCCCCAGCACACTCTCAGTACACAAATGTTGACAGTAGTATTGTTCTTTGTCTCGTTGTGTCTCTGAGTCTTTGAACTGAATCAGAGACAATAGAATCCTGCTCATCTCAATCACGTGTGAGGTCATAAGAAGTACTTTTACTGCACTTTTACTGTACTCCCCGTGTCGTATAATCATATATTTCTACTTCACATGTACTTCTTATGCAGTTGTCTTGTACTTGTCATGTACTTCTTATGTAGTACTCACCCCAGAGTTCCTCCTCTAGAGTTTTTCACACCACAGCACAGAGAAAGAACCAGGACTAAACCAGGTCTGAACCAGGACTAAACCAGGTCTAAACCAGGACTAAACCAGGTCTGAACCAGGACTAAACCAGGACTAAACCAGGACTGAACCAGGACTAAACCAGGTCTAAACCAGGACTAAACCAGGACTAAACCAGGACTAAACCAGGACTGAACCAGGACTGAACCAGGTCTAAACCAGGACTAAACCAGGACTGAACCAGGTCTGAACCAGGTCTAAACCAGGTCTAAACCAGGACTAAACCAGGTCTGTACCAGGTCTGTGAGGACTAAAGGGGAGCTACAAGTCTGGAGTCCTAAAAAACAAAATAAATATTTGTGAAAGAAAGTGATTGTAGAAACAGGTGAGGACCTTTAAAGCTACAATACGTCACTTTCTGATGGTGGCATGTGACCTGCATGATTCCATGGAAGCTACTACTGCTGCTACTACTTCTACATCTACTACTACTACTAGTAGTAGTAATAGTACTATTACCTATTACTAAAGTTCTTACTGCTAGTACTACTGCTACTACTACTACTACTACTGCTACTACTACTACTACTACTACACTACTACTGCTACTACTACTTCTATATCTAATACTACTTCTACATCTACTACTACTAGTAGTAGTAATAGTACTATTACTATTACTACTATTACTATTACTAAAGTGCTTACTGCTAGTACTACTACTACTTCTAGTACTACTACTACAGCCACTATTACTACTACTACTAAAAAGTTACACACTGTGGCTTTACAAGCATTTACTTAAATGAAGTAGTACTTTTCAGACCCCATACTTTTACTACTTTACTTATATTTTGTATTGTTACTCTTTGCACTTTGAGTAATAGCATCTGTCTCCAAGCAACTGGTGTTACCAGGCCATGTTACAGGTCAGATCTGTGGAGAGGCGACCCCGCTCACAGTCACAATGTCTGTTTTTCGAGTTAGTTTCGAGCTCTAATATCGCCTGTGATTGAATAAATATAAAGTAGAGCTGTTTAAAGTCACACTGCGGAACATTCCAGACAGAGCAGTGACATGTCCACAAACGTTGACCATGGTGACCAGGTGCATTGTGGGTAAAATGTCTCTGGGCACATTTTCGAGTCACATTTTCAGATTTGCGTAACAGCGAGAGTCTCCAGATTTACAGTTTCAGAACCAAACCAGAGCAGCCAAAAACTGAACGACGTCACTCGCCCAAATCCCCCACAATCCCTCATGTCTCTGTAATCCAGACCATGTGACCCGGGGCAGAGTGGTTAGCCCTCACAGCCACACGCTCCAGGTTGATTTATGCAATGTGTGTTTTAATGCTGATGTTTCCATGGTAACACATTTGATTAAAGTCTCATATTACGCTCAGTCTTGAGGCAGAGAAGTGGAAGTTTTCAAGTGACCAGCTCCTTTTACCTTTAGTTCAGTCCAGAACTGAACTCATCCAAATGATTCTAGTGAAGGTGTGTGGAGTTTAAAAACACAGTGGAGCACTTCCTGTATCACCGCATGACATCACGAGGTGGAACAGACTGTTTACTTTTGAGAGAAAAATTCAGCTTAAATCTGCAGAGTTTGTGTGAATGAAACAAAACACAACTCCTCTCCTTTCCTCTCCTCCTCATCTT